TTTGAGGGTGGGCAGAAGGCCACCATGACCCAGACCAGCTCCTTGAGAGCTAGTGCAGTTCTCCCCACAATCTTTAGAGAAAGGTACTGTTGGTGTACACCTTTCCCAGGCGAGAAAACCAAAGCTCAGATAAATATATGGCCTAAAGTGCAACTGCTACGAGGTGGGGTGAAGGGCTGAAGGGAGGTTCAAATTCAGGTCTATCTGACTCCACAACTAACCCCTTAACCAGAGCAATGTGCTCATCTGTAAAGGAGGAACAGGGGAAGCTGCTGTGTATCCTTTAAGTCCCAACCAAGCTGTCACCGCCTCCAGGAAGCCTCCCCTGAATCCCTAAGTCAGGGTTAGGTGCCTTCCTTGGGCATGCAGGGCTAGGGGCTTTGTCACAGCACCAATCCTTTTCTGACTTGTGGTTCCTTATCTATTTCCCCTTGCTCTGCCACAGGAGAAACCCATGAATGTTTCCGACATAAACTTGCTCCCCTCAGAACCTGGCTCTGGGTTCTGGCTGGACAACTCTGCTCTCTGACAGCGTGACCCCAAGATCAGATCTAGGAGCAGGCAAGAGGGAAGAGAAGTGCCAACCAGCCATCCTCCCCTCAAGTCTGAGCTGGAATGGGGCACAGTCACCCCAGAACCTCTGGAGGCCTCTACATCAGCAGTGGGGCAGGTTGAGAGCACCCAGAGGAAAAAGACCCAAACCCCACAGGCTCCAGGCTGGCAGCCTTGCTTGGTTTCCTGCAGATGGGTCTGAGCTGAGGGTGGTGGAGGAGGCAGTGGTGGCCCTGGGGCCCAAGTGATGCCAGGGGGGCAGCCAGGCAGCAGCCATTCACTTTGAGTGAGGCCGGTCCTCTCCCTGCAGCAGCTCTGGGCCCTGGAGGGCAGGCTGCAGAGTGAGTCCTCCCAGCCTCTTGGTCGGTGGCCTGACAGGCCCCTCTGGCAGACAGACACCAACATTGGGTGGGGGGCGGGAGGGACGAGGAGATGGGCAGAAGCAGGGGCCCAGAGA